TCCAACGAATCGGATTATTTTTCAGCTCAGCCGAACGTCAAGTTATTCATTTACCAAGGTGGTCGGCAGAGCAACGACGAGGCTATCCACTTCGCAGTGCCAGTTCTTGGGTTCGCGATTTTCGGCGATCAAGATTATCAAGTAGGCAGAATGGAAGCTCTGGGCATTGGCAAACGTTTGGAAATTACAACTGTCACGAAAGACGAACTTGAAAGTAGTGTCATCGAGCTCATAACTAACAAAAAGTAAGTATAAACTAGTTCGTATTATAATCGAGCTGTATCAAAACTTTAGAGAGTTAGTGAAATTACGGAAAATTACAGGGACTTGAAATTTTTGCTATTGCAACTGTTAGATATTTATGGATTCTCTTAAAGAAATTCATATTAATTTCTCTATACACACTAAACTGGAATTGTATTATTTTATACTTACCATAATCACTTTACGTCCGTTCATTATTAATTCAGCTTTAGTTATGATTATCAATGCATAGTATATCGTAGTATATCATAAATAATTCAGTAGAATATCAGACAATTAAAACCTTTGAATTCAAGTGTGTTTGGTTTTGCAATATTTCTATTACTGAGCCAAGTGATTATAAAATAATTAAAAAGATACATATTCAAAACTAAAAAACATACTCAACACTGCGAAAACTTTGAATTTTTCTAATGTACATTGTTTGAGTCAATGATATTTTATTCCGTAATACAACGTTTAATTCATGAAATGAACCGATTATTAATGAATGTATTATTACAACATGTGTTATGGATTTCTCATATCGCCTAGACAAAATACACTCTGCAAAGATTCTCATCATTCACCGAGTAGTTGATCAAATAACGAATTAGAATACCACAATTACTTTCAATACCTGATTCTGAAATCAATAGTTCCTACATTTCCTGCAACTTCCTTCTCTCTACAAAATAGATGCCACCTCTATGTCACGCAAGAAACTTCTGCGAAAGTATTTGATTGAAATGCTTCCTTTCAGAAGTGACGTCGTATGTAACAATTTCTAACTGCTGCGTTGCTTTTCAGGTATAAAGAGAGAATAACTAACATCCGGAACATTATAGAAGATACACCCTACGATTTAGTGAAAAATCTCGCTTGGTGGACGGAACGTGCGATAAATACGAAGAATGTGCCTCATCTTCGCTCAACTCTGATTTACCAACCTTGGTATCAACATTGCGACTGGGACATCATAGGATTCTTGACGATCGTAGCTTTCCTGATCGTTTCGAGCACGCTTGTTCTAATTGCCAAGCTCGCAGTTTACCTACATAAGCAAATCTCTCAGTCACGAAAACTGAAAGCGAATTAATATTTCTTTTCAACGAGTGACAGTTGAAGAATTTATGCGAGTTAGTTAAGAATCGCTAAGCGTTTCAAAACGTAGAGTATAACACCAGAAGAAAGACTAACGATGCCTATAAAAGAGGTTCAATTAAGTTAGAATCTCAAAGAATCGTTGGTCCTTTGAACAAGTGTAAATTTATTCTAAATTATTATCAACTGATGTGGGAATCCCGGATGTGCCCCAAATTTTGTAGGATTCTCAGACGAGTTTCCAATGTTGCAAGAATAAAATAAAAGGATATTCCACCCTACGTTTTTTGATTAAAGTTAGAAATTTATTAAAATGAGATTTAACAGAAATAAAAGTCCCAATCCTGGGTTGGAAAAAAAAAGATTAAGATTAAAAGTCTCGCTATTATCTCCAGATCTATACTCACTGGCGATTCGATACTATCTCGATCTGCACCCTCGTTGCTATCTCACATATTCATCCACACAAACACTCGTATCCTTAATATAATTCAGTCCTAGGCGATTAAAACAAATTCCCACGTCTAACCTTCGCTATAACCATCACAAGTGGCACAAGCGACACTAGAGAAAAAATTCCCAGAATTTTCCTAGAGTTCCATATCACATACTGATGAGAATGATTCCCTCTCAGACGAAATTACACTAAAACTACAGATCAGTCTATGGAATATTAATACTTAATCGCCATACAATGTCGATTGTATGTTTGAGAATGTCATCTGGTATTTGATATTTCTTCTATTGCTACTTTACACACACACACACACATTAATTCTATATATAATTTATATTAATAATTTTATATATAATTTAGAGAAAAAGTAACATGCAACATGTGAACGAATACTTACATGCCCAATAAGACCAACATTTATCAATAATATTGAAAATTTATCATCTCAGATCGAAGAAACTTTGATAGATAATTTTAGTAAATATAACGAGATGTCTTGACACTTACAGTCGATACGTATGTTTAATGGATTTGTAAAAATACTTCATTTATTCCTGTATCTATAATTTTTAATACAGATCGTTCTCGAAACGGATATGTAACATGTAATCTGTTATCGACAACGAGAAAAAGGCAAAGTATACTTCAGAGGATTTAGACGTAACACGTCAATATCGCTGGTAATGCATTTAGTCGACGAAAATAACAGTTTCCGATCTTAACGTGTTTTAAAAATCCCTGTGGCACAGTTGAAAAAAATCAAAATTTCAAATCTCATAAAATGATTGATAACTGAAACGGAATTGTACAAAAAAGATAGCAAAAGTCATAAATATGATCGAAACTAAAGTTAATTATATATTGTAAATTACAAAGTTAATTACATAGGAAAAATATGCATAGATACATTATTTACTTTTATCAGAATGTTTCTATGTTTTATGAAGTAAAACTTCAAAAAGCGTGTTAGGTGAATAGAAACACAGGAAAAATGTTCTGCAAATATAGATCGTTCTAGATTATACTGAATATTAATATACACACTAAAAAAAATTTTAATATAACGCAATCTCGTTTATGCCAACAGGTCGGTGGACAAAATCGTTCAGAAAACGGAACAGTTCAATTTATAATAGAGACTTCACTAGCTTTCTCAGTAACTTATACATACTTCTGTGGATAGCAAAACAAAATAAATACAGATAACAAATTCATTAATTATGAGTGCGTATATATCCTAACTGACTCGTAAAAACGAGAACAGATAAACAAGACTCCACCATGCAGAAATCCGCTGTGTAACTTAACCATCACTCAATACGCTAAGAACCTAACACATAAATATGTATGCATCAAATCAGAGCGACATATGCATAAAACGTGTCCAAAGAAACGTACACAGTAAATGCACATTGTAAAATGCATCATTAAAAATGGTAATAGTACCAAGAGACGAAAATTCAGAGATAACGGCTACACCTATTCCAAATTACAATTTCTATCGATATATCGCATCGTCAGCATACGTGTTCATGCCTTTTTTTTTTTTAGTAGAACCGTAACTGGCAGTTGCGATAGTTGAACGCGAGAAGTATGACGCGAAATATCACCAATCTCCTCTTCGTTTTGTGGGTTTTGTGCATCGTCAAACAGTCGGAATGCTACAAGATCCTAGCAATCATAGCAACACCGTCTTACAGCCATCAAATCCCGTACCGAAGATTATGGCTGGAGCTACACAATCGGGGCCACGAAATTCTGCTAGTCACGGCGAATCCTATGCCGAACATCAACTCGCCGAATTTCACGCAGATCGACGTCAGCCAGTCTTACAAAATATTTAGGACACTAAACTTCATTGAAATGAAGCTCAACGGTGATTCATGGTTGCAAATTATAGAAAATTACGGGATACCGATCACCTTGGTTTGCGCGGAAAACGTGTTCAACAATACGGAATTTAAAAAAGTATACGCTCCAGACAGCGACGCAAAGTTCGACATCCTTCTGACGGAATACCTCTACGTGCCCGCCATCGTCGGTCTTGCACATCGATTCGACGTTCCCATAATAGGTACTTGTTTAATATATATTCATGGTCATTCGTACAGTGACGGAGAAAACTTCACAACGAAAAAAAAAACGTCGACATTCGAAAGTGTTATGACTTCGTGGAAAAAGATCGTGGAATAATCCATCTTTTTCAATGTGTTCGTTTTAAAGAATGAAATCTACACTTTGACAACGCTGAACTCGCCACTTCCGTATGATGTTTTCACGTCGTTCAATGGGTAAGAAAGAAAGGAAAATCGTCGAACCTCAAATTTAACGAAAAATATTTTACACGAATATATTCACCATGATATATAAGTTGATGTTTTCAATCTTGATTTCTTTTCTCGCTACTCAACTGCTTCGACAATGAAATATAAAAATTTCTTGAATTCTTGTCAAAACGCTGAATAAAATAACAAAAAAATAGTAAGTACAGCAAACTTTGAAGAACCACAAGGTACAAAGAAAGTTCCAATCTACAACATCACTTTTTCACGAAAACATAACACTTCGTCGCAGTACTTATTAATTTCATTTCGTTGTCATTTCATTTCGAAAACCAAGAACGAATATAAAAGTATACTTGAATACTATTACACAATAATTTGATTATTTATTGTTTTACAATTGCTGTTATTTCATTCAGAAACTTATGCAACCGAAAAAAGTTAATATTTCAGAAAAGGAAACTCAAAGGTGGTAGAATATCTTTATCACTTACATACCTTTGAGTCTTGAAGGTTCTTTATCATTCACATCATATTTAAAACTCAGATATTCGTCTAATTAAAAAGTGTAATATTATTTAAACAGTAGATAATGCTTCTAGAATCTTAGCACAATTTGGAATTCAGAATTACTTTTTTTTATGACTAATTTAACATCCCATTACAATTTGCTAAACAAGTCGTTTCTACATCTAATATGAAGAAATTATTCATAATATTAATGGGTGATATATTTCTTCAGTATAACTATTATTTCGAGAGAATTTCTCAGATTTGATGATTAAACAACATGCCCACTACAAAAACAATCTGTTTAGAAGAATCGAAGTTATCCTATTTGACTCATGTATCTCTGTTAATCCCATAAGTTTGTAATTATCAAATTGTTGTACAACTATTACCCCACGAACTTGTCTGATCAAATTTTTCATGATCGTAGGGTTAAGTTCGTTAGGGCTACCTGCATGGAACGAACACATCCTTGGCGGATTGGTCCTCCCTTCTCACGAGAGCACGTGGGAAATGGAAAACAAAACGGGCTCGAATCTACCATTCTTGAAGAGGTTATGGAATTTCGTGAGCTTCTGGCATTTCTTGCACTTGTTGTACACCGAACTGTTGCTCGTTAATCAGCAATTGGCGGAGAAATATCTCGGGCCATTGCCGCCGTTAACAGATATTATGAAGAACACTAGTATGCTATTCATTAATCAGGCCAGCGTATTAACAC